AAGCTTGCAACATGTATGCGTGCTTTTGAAAACAATGTCATTTTCTCCGCTACCTGCATCGAGCAGCGAAAGGACTCGAATGCAGGTAGAAAGAGGCGTGACTGGGCAAGCTTCTTCCTTTCAACGCCAAGACGGGGCCGTTAGCGTGGAATCGCAGCTCTCATGCGGGGTTCCACAGTTCCGTTCAGGGCAGTCGACAAGCGATTGGACGTGTGTTCGTTCTTGCCTTCGGCTGCTTCTGGGCTCCAGTGTCCTTACTATGTGACGCGATGAGTGAAGATTTGCCGTCGTTGTTGCAGCCTCTGCCAGCGACGGCTCTGGGTCATGTGGCAGTTGCGCACGATCGTCTCGGACAGCCTGGGGCCACTGCCCCTGATCGGGAACTCCTCTGGCTGCTGGGCTGCTGCCGCCCGGCGTGGCGGACGTGGACCTAGACAATGTCCTTCACAAGCTTCGCCGCGCAGGGAACTACTTGCCAGAGCAATGTGCGCCCCAGGAGCGGCGCGTTAGCTGCCTGGCGCAAACTTGTCCTGCGTGCAATGTGCGCTTGCTGGATGTTGTCACGCAGGTTCTCACTTGGAGTGCCGTTGCCCTGGCTGTGGGGCGCTGTACCAAGGCTGTTGGAAAGTTGGCGATGGTGGCTGCCAGCAGTTGATGTGCCCGGTCTCTGCCCACGAGCCCTTTGTCATCCTGGCGCAGCCGCGGGCAAACATTACCACTTTAACTTTGTGTTGGTCAAGTAGGTATTAGTGTAGTAGTTTAATGCTGGTCATAGTCATTAATGGTTTGCGGAATGCCTTCTGCGGGGCGCACAGCCCTTTCCCCTGTGTTTTTTTCTTGGTGGCGTCCATGTCGCGGACAGATGCGCGGTTTCGCAGCGCGACGGCAGTGGTGCAGGACGGGAGACATGTTGATGTTTCGCCCGCTCCATTTTGTTTGGAAATGCCAGGTCTGTTTCTTGTTCTTACGGGTGCTTGGTTGGTTGGTTGGTTGTTTGGGTGGGTGGGTGGGTGGGTGGGTGGGCCAGCAGTTGGGTGGGTGGCTGGCTGGGTGGTGGAAGCATCCTTGGCCCCTTCCTTCTCATGCACCCCCTAAGAACAAGCGTTGCAGGCAAAAGTCGGCAAGAACCTGAGGCAAGGTCCGCACGAGGGATGAAGGGGCCATAAACAGTTGGCTGGCATCAGCTACTAGAAAAACTTGAACCCCAAAGGATTAGGGTTCAGGGGTTCGAGTTTTTCTAGTAGTCCTTGAAACCCCAAAGGATTAGGGTTCAGGGGTTCGAAAAACTTGAGCCCTAAAGGATTAGGGTTCAGGCGTTCGAGTTTTTCTAGTAGTCCTTGATAAAAGTAAATATGGGGGGCTTGTAGAGCTTTTGGGAGCGCGCCTTGGCCGTTGCGCTTTCAGGTCAACGCCGCACCTTCACGGTTCAGTGCCCCTTTTTCCTCGCGGCAGGCGCTTTGCGTGTGGAGGACGTTGCTGACCTGTACGTGTTGAGTGATCCTCTAGGAGTACGCGGCCGCTTGGGTCTCTTCTACGCTCGTCCGACTTTCAAGCGTGCTCAGGAGGGGGAGGACGCCGCAGCAGCCTTGACAGCTGCTCGCCGTGGGGTGGAGCATTTGTTGCAGCAGAAGTTCCAGCATGCTGGCGTGCGCACGATCCCGTGCACGCTGCCAGCCTGGCTTTGTTTGAAGAGTTCAAAGGCTACCGCTTCCGCGTGTACAAGTTGTCGCAGGACGCAGCCCGCGAGTTCTTCCGCATCTACAATGAACACACCGCGCGGCACAAGGAAGCCCATCTCGTGGACATGACCTCCGCCAAGTACCATTCGAAGGCCACTCCAAGTTTCTCCGCCACAGCCTTGCGGTTCACATGGCCGAGCAAGCTTTTTGCAAAGATCCCCAGAAGCTTGGTCGGTGGAGGTTTCCTTGCGAGCTTTGCAGTTCGGCCGGCTGCTGTCGAATTACATGGACAAGATCGACTGCTCTTGCCACCTTCTTTCGGGACCTGAGTGTGCGTGCCGAGACTCCCCGTGGGCGCCCCCGTGAAGATGCGGCCGCGCCCTCTCGCCCTGGTCAGGCCGCAGTGGGTCGCGCTTCGGTGCGCGCGCAGTTGGGGCAGGTGCTTCAGCAAGAGCTGACATCCTATTCCAATTTGGCTCCGGACCAGAGTGCCACCTTGCTGCGGCTTTGCTCGGCCATTGTTCGGCGGAAGCGCTCGGCTTGGGTCGATTCCTCCTTGTTCCTCCGCGATGCAGAGGTGAAAGAGATCCTGGCGGGCACCTCTGTCAGCGAGCGCTTGCATCACTTCGCTCGCGCTGCTCGCCTTCTTACCCTTGCTGGCTTGGCGGTGGCAGGTATGGGCACGAACCCGCATGGCACGCCTTTGGTTTTTCTAGTCAAGCGGGTCCTTCCAGAACTCATCCAAGTCTATGCCCGTCTGCAGGCCGCACGAGTGCAATGGCGGAGCCGCGCGCTCTCAGTTGCGTCGCAGCTGTGCTTCCTCGACGCTCGAAATGGACGTGTAGTGTTTCTGGAGACAACCGAGCAAGGACAGGGAGGGACAACCCGTTTGCGCCTTCAGGGCAGCCACCTGAAAGTCCCCCGTCGAAGCTCCCCTCGAAGCCCTTGAAGGTCAGGGCTTGAAGCCGCCTTTGCAGCCTCTTCAAAGCCCCTTGAAAGCCTTCAAAGCCTTCGAAGCCTCCCTTCGAAGCCTTCGAAGCCTCCCCTTCGAAGCCCCCTTCGAAGCCTTCGAAGCACCCTTCTTCAAGGGCTTCGACCTTCACCTTCAAGGCCCTTCAACCTTCGGCTTCAAAGCCCTTCAAGGGCTTCAACCTTCGGACCTTTGTCCTCCCCCCGGGCTTGAAGCCCTTGAAGAGCCCTTCAAGCCCTTGAAGGTCCAAGGTCGAAGGGTGCCTCGGAACCAACTTCGAGGGTGGGGAAGGGTGGGAAGCGCAGGGACACGCAGGAGCAGCGCTCGTCACAGTCATGTTCAAAGCCAACCTTTTGAGCTTTTAGTTTTCCAATTTTGGTCCATTTTCCATTGAGGTCCTAAAAGTTCTATCCAGGTCAACTGAGTTTGTCGTCTCCCTGCTTTGTGCTCGTGCAGCCAAGGTTCGTTGTCAGCTGCTGTCCAATCCGCAGACTCCCCTCACAGCTGTGTCCCATGGCTGCATGCAGAGATGGGAAGCCAAGCTTGCCGTGGGCATTGTCATTGGCAATCCCGCGAGGTAAAAATTGAGTTGCGCGCGTTTGGCTCTCAGAGGTTAAACGATGAAATGCGCAGCCTTGAGGCAAGCTGGAGCAGCTGTGGGACTTTTACATCGATGGCAACCGGTTGGGTGAACTGCCGCAGCTCCCTCCGCGCTTGAATGGGCTCAAGGAGCTGTCCTCAGGGTTCATTTGCAAGAGAGATCAAAGAACATTTCCGTTGTCAGTTTGGGTGTTGATAGCTTGTTTTGCTGTAGTCAATAGCCAAGGTTTCTGGCAACCTGTTGAAGCAGCTGCCGAACGCCCTAGGCTTGGGCATACGTCAATGCAGCGCAGGGCTAACCCACAAGCTAAATACAAGTGATGCTGCATTGGGCAAGCTCATCCTGGACATATGGGCATGTGCAAGATCAATGTAGTTTTTCTCGGAAGGATTGGCAGCAGGTATGTGCCGATCACCGCAATCACAAGTACGTGTGGACATGTGCGTCCTGTCAAGCAATCCGTATATGTGCATACGTTGGCCTTCAGCTTGCGAGGCGGGTGCTTGGATATGGCGAACATCCGGGCGTATGCCAACCAGCTGGAGTCCATCCCTGTAGCTTGGCCTCAGCGAGGACAGCAAGCCGAGGGGGAACAAAAAAATGAGATCTTCAATTCCCTTTTGAAGGTGGGTCTGGCCGGTGCGCCTGATAGGTTGCAAACAGGGGCTGCACAACGTAAGGGCTACCATGAGAACTGCGACCACGAACCATATTGCAGCAAACATTTGCCAACGATTTCATTTCAGTTCGTCGGCATTTTTTGCTCATTCTGTGAAGCGGGATCGATCCATGTACAAACCTTGCAGAATGCTTCTGAACAGCGCTTTCCAGAGCCGGAATCACTGCACAGTGAGCTAGGCAACTAGTGCGCAAGCTTCTTTTTTTAAGGCTGAAAGAACCTTGCCATTCTTGATGGCTTTGCGTTAGGGGTTTTGCTTGATCTTTGCTTGGTTGGGCGCACACATTTGGCCAAGGAAGTTGGCGCGGGATTGCCTTGTTGTTTTTTTTGATTCTAGTTTCTTCACACAAAAGTGGATATCCAAAAAAGGCGCTCTTCGCCCCCATGGCACATGGCTCCAGCCGGGCTCAATGGCTCAAGTACCAGACCGCAGTGCAGAAGCAATGGGCGAAGGTTCTGGGTGGAAGTATTTTTGATGTGATGTGTGTGTGTGGCTCTGTGGTTGCCCTGCTAGAAGATTGACTGTCCTTTGGGCGCAAGGTCGCCGCTTCGCGTTTTGACCGAGGATAGCATTTGCGAGCTGCCACGGGTTGTGGAGATGTCACTTCAGGGCAATCGCCTGGAGCGGCTGCCTGCGGGACTTGGTGCCTTGCAGCGGCCTGGCTCAAGCCGTAAGTTGGAAAGAACAGGGCTGGGACCATGTGCCTTCCCTGGAATTCTGTTGCAGTTTGGGGGTCCCCAGCTGGAACAACAGCCGGCACCGGCGGGAGGCTATGTTTTGGAAGGGGGGAGCGGGGGTGAGCAACGCAAGCTTTGGAGAAGACAGCTAGGACAGCCACGGCCTGGCTCGAAGTGTGTTTAGTTCCGTCTCCGTTCCCAGGCGTATGGGGTTGATAGACCACATGTCGGCACATGGCTTCCGTAGGCAGCTGCAGTACTTGTCGCTGCATGACAACAACCTTCGGTCCTTGCCTGCCTCGGTCTCGGAGCTGCAGCCTGGCTAACCTCGAGAGGGTGGCGTGACCCGAACAGGTTGAAACAATTTCCCAAGATGACTTGGAGAGTTGCTGGTGACTTGCTCCGGCATGAATTTGCTTGAGCCGGGGGCCGGCTGTTGGAAGGGGCGTAGCCAGGGGCACAGCAACTTCCTCATTTGAGATGTTGTTCCACGTTGATGCAAGTTGTTAAGCTCCAGTTCATGATGCAAGCAGCGCATGTTCATGATCATGGCTGTTTCAATTCGGTTCGGCTCGGTGCCACACAGAAACGGTTTACTAGCGATTCTGTTCGGTATCGGTTTGGTTCGGTTGGGTTTGTCACGAACCACCTCGCTTGAATTCGGCAAAAAGGAGTGAATCCTTGAGAACGGTTTTTTTTGGTTTTGTGATGGTGAGTGTTCGTGTTTCCCTTTCCACATGGTTTGCCGGGCGGCCAGTGGCCAGATTCGCATGGTTGTTTCAGACAGGCTGGCTTCAGGGGGAAAAGGTCCTAAAGCCGCTTGCAGGCGAGAGCTGCGGTGGCTTTACCTCTACAACAACCGTTTGCAGGAGATTGCTTTGACTGAGCGTTGGCGACTGAGCGTTCCTGCCAGCAAAAAGTGATAGGACGTTTTCCACTGGACTGCAAAAGTAACAGTAACTAAGTAGCCTCGCATTTGACCCGAATGGCCTCGTACCAGGGTAGTGGTGTTTTGCCCAGCTAAGAATTGAAAGTGCCAAGCATTTGCACTGTGTTCAATCCCCTTTGCGCACAGTTGCAAGGGGCTGGCCACGGTCAAACACTTTGTAGTGAGTCACACAGTTGCACAGCCCGGGCTTGAGGCATATCCTATCCCCTTTGGGGTCGGGTTACTCCAAGAAGTACTTTGCCCAGTTCCGGGGGGGGGATTCATATGGTACTCCAAACATCATTTGTTGCAGAGGGGAAACTCAGTCGAACGGTTTGAATGGTTTCTAGCAAACATCCGCTCTAGGCCGTTTCTACTTGGCACATGTAGGGTATTCCCAGGACTTGCCAGCAGGGCTCAGCAGGCGGGCCGGCGTGTGAGACGACGGGTCCTGAGCAATCTCCTGACATGTGCCATACAAGTGCTTGTGAGACCACTATTGATTGGCTGGATTGAATCAACATTACATTCGCTATCAACCCCTTCAGGATGTATGAACTTCTTTAGAAGCTCGACTAAGAAGGGCCTTTTAGCCTTGTCCGGTCGTTTTGCATGCATGCTTGTTTTTTCACTGTCCATGACTGTCCCATCACTATTGATTCAAACTAGGGGCGGTTGTTGGGTAGCAGGCCCTTCCCTGGTTGCCCGCTGGCCCCTCAGAAATACCACGTGCCGTGAGGCCATTTGGATCTGTCAGACCAAGATAGGTCGAAGCCATGGCCGCCTTCACCTTACTTACCTTACTCCCGTCCTTGGCGTTTCATTTGGCAGCGAGCCAAACGAGCTGTGCCTCGCTGCTGCAGAACGGCTTCCAAAGGAAGCTGGGGCTGGAGGAGCCCGGGCCGCGGCTGGTGCAAGAGCGGCCACCGGTGGTGCCTTGGACCAAAGCGGTAGCTTAAAACCTCCAACCGCAGCTGAGTGCGCCCGCAGGTTCGCGCATTGTACCGAGATATGGTAAGGCCTAAACGACTTGTTAGCGTGCTACCAAGAAAACAAGGGCAAATGGGGACTCATACGTCCAACCACCACCACCACCACCGCCGCCGCCGCCGCCGCCGCCGCCGCCGTGCCGCCACCACCACCGCCACCACCACCACCGCCACCACCACCACCACCACCACCAAGAACCAAGGAAGGGGTTACATTTCGTTGCAGTCAGAATATGGATCACATTTCGTTGGAGTTAGAATCTACTCGTTTACTCATTGGTCTTCTTGCAGTTAGAATGCCTCCCTGATTTAAAAAGCATTCACCAACTACAAGTTGAAAACATATTCTATTTCCTAGTCCGGCACAATATGATTATGATGATTATTGCTATCATGAATCATTAATTATTACCATCGTTAGCACTTGCATTTTAATTGTCGTTGTAGTTTTTTGTAACATATTTATGGTATTGTTCTTATTGCCAGTGCGCAATCTTGACCACCACCACCAGCACCACCAGCACGACCACCAGCAGCATCCATTCCCTAAGGTGCCTGTGGTCCAGCCGTACAGCTGGGCCAGCAACTGCGACCCCCGCGAGGGGCTGCGGAATGCCAGCCGCGTGCAAGTGGCCGTGCACAGGGCTGAGGTGCTGCGGCAGAAGGCAGCGCCTTGGAAAGGCTAGTGAGCAGTGAGCAGAAAAATATGGGGCGGGGGGTGTGGTGCTTCGATCATCATGCGCGCACCTGAATGTTCTGCTCAAGGCTTGGTGTGGCTGTTTGGGCTGGACATTCTTTCAGTTCGTTTGTTCATGACACATGATGCCACAGTATCATTGCCTTGATGAGGGATCTCCGGTGCTAAACTAGATGTTTGATTTGCAAGCCAGTGCCCATGGAAGCCTGAAGCCTGATAAAACCATGCCCAGGCAATGTGGAAGGATGCCTGAGGGAAGTTGGATTTCAAAGCCGGGATAACAAAGCCGGGATAGCAGAGTTGGACAAGCAGACGTGTTTCTGCTTGGCACGGCTTGAAATTCTTTGGGCCCCTCCCTGGATTCAACTGGTTGATTTGCCACGCTCATTTCAAGCCCACCAAAGAGATGCTGAAGCTGGTGGGGCCGTCTCCCCCTTCGCGTTGCAGCGGCACCCAGGAATCGCAGCTCCGGCTGGCAGAAGATGCGCAAGAAAAGAACCAGACATGGGCAGCTTGGGCCAAGGGCCAATCGGTTCGTCGGGCAAAAATTGGGGTGGGGCCCTTTTTGATGATTTTTGAAGTTTACAGGGAAACTGAAGGCCACCCAATTTTGGCAAATGCTTAAAGGTGATGCATGTGCCACAACTGGGCGCTCGCACTGACAGGGCAAGGCCCGTCAGCTTGATATTGCTTTGGCAGAGCCTGATAGGTAAGATTCGGCATGGAGTTGATGAGGGCATGGTTGTCCCAGGCAAGCAGGTGGGCGCTTCATTGGCTACAGCATAGGTCAAGCGCGCGTAGGTACAATGGGCGAGCGCGCAATTGTGCACCAGGGTGTGCAGAAGACTCGTGGGGACCCCCCCAGAACCACAGCACAGTAGAGCGGTTTTGCGGCGTGGTGCTGGGACGGGCTGCCTCGGTTTTGGCTCATCATGTGGAACTTTCAACTCAGCCCTAGGCAGCATAATTGTCGCTTGCCGCCCTAGCAAAAAGGTCACCCTGAGCTGCATTGGGGTTGGCACCTGGCCGCAATTTCCCCAAGCTTGGGGAGTTGATTCGACGATTCGACCCGAGGTGGGCCAGGTCTTGCTGGAGCTGCGGCAGGGCGAGCTGATGCGCTTCAGCCAAGACAAGCTGGAGCTGAACCTCTTCAACCCCTCGGTGGTGCCCATGCCCGAGGCGGAAGGTAAAGATGGAGGTGTCAGGTGTTTGCTTTGACCCGTTTTCGGTGGAGATCGTCTTGATGTTTGGAACTTTCTCGGCCAGACGCCTCAGACTCAAGCCTTCCCATCCGAAGGCTTGGAAGAGGGGCGATGACGAGGTATGGTTGGCGGCCTTCCGGCACATGGAGCTCGCAAGGTCCGTGAGCTTTTGGTGCATGCTGGCAGGGGGCTCCAGCGTCGTCGTGCCCATTCACAAAGGGCGAGAGGATTGAGCGGGGGGTAAGGCTTGAAGCAACTGGTTAGGACGGTTAGGAGTTGTTTCTTGTTCCTCTTTTTTTTCTCCCCCGTTGTGCAAAGAGGGAAGACCCCCCAGTTTTGACCGCTTTCTGTGCATGTGTAGCCGAACGCATTGCTGGCTCGGGCATTTCCCTATCATTGGGCACATTAGGCTACTCAATCAGTTCAGTTTGCTTGAGCATCGAAGCATGACCGATGAAGGCTACAGACTACATTGGTTTGGTCCAAGTGATAGACTTTCTCGCATGTTCCCATTGCCCCTCGGGCTGGCTTCGTGTGTGTGTGTGTGTGTGTGTGTGTGGTGCTGGATGCCTTCAGCATCGATTGTGCCTGTTTCTCTGCCAAGCTCTTCTTTTAAGCAGGGTGAGGTTGGATTCCTCATTCTGCCTGGAGCATGGTGGGGCAGGCCACCCAGGCCTACCACAGATGTTGCATCTTGAGGATTCTGCATTGCAGGGTCGGGGTCGCTACAACTTTATTTGTTGTTCAAATGTCTGCAGTGCAGTGGGAACCGTGCCCAGTTTTGACATAGCCACCGACATGCTCGCGAGCAGTTTGCGACAGTTTCCCATCTTTGTCCGCAAGAGGGTCTCAATCCACAGTGTGCATTTACACAATGACATGTGTAAGCTTAAACTTATGCTATATACACCTATGATATATATATATATATATATACATATATATATATATCTATGCATGCATACATACGTATTTATATATGTGTTTGCATGTGCGATGGTATTTTGCTTACCAGCACTGGTGCAGCTCAGTCGTTTCTTATGAGAATGCCTTGTCCTTACTTGCCGATGCCATGTGCCCCAGGTGCTAGCGGTGCTAGACGCGGAGATGCGGATGACACGGCCGGTGGAGGTCGTGACCGTGGGGGATTTGCTGCAAGAGAAGTTCCAGTGCGACTCGCCGGCGTCAGGTCATGTTGGTGTTTGAGTGGACGCCCTGCTCCACTTTGCAATTGACTTTCTTAGTATTATGTGTGATTATGCTTCACAAGTTTCAGGCTGCTTGCACTTCTTTCCCTCAATGAGGCCAGGATGATCCTCGTGGCTTTGCCTTTGGGCCCGAGGACCCCAGGCTCTTCATAGACCAGGGCAAGGCGCGATGCCGCCAATGCTTCACCAGTCACCCTATGTTGGTTTGGATTTTTGTTGTTCCGAATTTTCATCATCCAGATGCAGTGGGATGGGCACGGTCTGTCGCCGCTGCCCCCCTTTCGATGGATGCTGCCGAACTGCGAATCCCTGACGAAGGAACGTGTGTCATGGGCAAAACTTATTCTCAAACCAGCTGTGCACCCCATTCCAACGCAGGGCATTGTTCCAGTGTCTAGAGTGTCTCAGCGGACGCTTGGCCGTGCACGGAGGTGCTGATGTTCTTCAACGCCCGCGCGCCGCAGCAGTCGCTGGACCAAAGCTGCCCCGCGACCAAGGCAGGGGGCTGTCAGCCTTTGCCAGTGGAGCCTCAAAGGTATGCAGCTTATAGGCCCCCCTGCCTTCCTCTTCCTTTACTTCTGCTCAGAGATGTGGAAGGCCCATTGAAGAGGATTGTCTTTGAACTTATGCAGGGGTTCCCGGCTTAGGCGAGTTTGAAGTGCTCATGTCACCGAGGGCCGGATGTATCTGTCGGAGCTCACAGAGGACCTGGTGCCTCGATGGACCTCGGTCCTGCGCACTCCCTCGGAGCAAGCAGGCTTGCCGGCGGAGATCCGTGGCAGGCCCTTGGGCGGCTACGAAAAGAACTGGTCGCCTTTCCTGCACGCGGAAGGGGCAGCTCGGCGCTTCAGTGCGGCCCTGAAAACTTGGGCTTGCTTCTGATTTTGGTTGCTTGATGCGCTGGAAAACGATCATGGAAGCATCCTCGGACAGCTTCAATGCAAGTATGTGGGAGGGGGGCTTCTTGCCTGTATGCCATCCGTTGAAGGCAGCTCCAATGCGAGAACGTAGCAGGATTGCATGGGTGCTGGTCACAAGGGCCCTTGCTCTCTTGCTGGGCCATGCGGTGGTCATTGGCTTTCCTCCCCCCAAATTGAATGGGGGTTCATTTGCCCTGCGCACCTCCCACAAGCAAGTTCGCATGAGGGTCACCTTGAAGCAGGCTTGCTCGAGTCCAGGCCAACCAGCGGCTCTTCGCAGTGCAGGACGTGAACCCGCACGTGGTTTTGGACCTGGACGCGCAGGCGGCGGTGGCGGGGGCTGTGGTGTACAACACGTCCACCGCCGCGATGCGCACCTGGCGCCAGAGGATGAGAAAGGAGGGCTACAGGCGGCCCGGCGGCCAATCAGACAACATGTGTCCCCTTGGCTGGCGCTAGATGGCCATGATGGGAATGGATGCAAAGCACCGGCAATGGATCCAACTCAACAAGCGTGACAACTCTCACTGCTCAGGGCAAACGCCCCAAGACCCACTAGCAACTGGAAAAGTTTGTTTGCTTTAGCTCCCTTTTACGGGTAGTTTCAGAGGAAATCCAAAGGGAACCTGAAGGTCGCCACACGGCGGAGTGAGCGCAGTCCTCATCAGCCACTCCATTGCTGGCCTCAACCTGACGGCCCCCTTCTACCTCTCGATTCTCCACACCCAGCACGGGCCCATGCACCAAACGGACTGGGCTGTGCTGGGGGCGGTGCATTTTTCATTTTGCCTTGTCTGCAGCGCAAAACACGTTCCTCTCAAAAAATGGGTTCGTTTATTTTGTTCGGACGACTCAGCAGGGCGAGCTGCCCTTCGTCTATGAAAGCTACTTGTACGCTTTTGAGGGCCAGCCCCCCTTCAGCATCCTGAAGGCTCGTGGTGGAGGGGCCACAACAGGGGCCCGGTCTTCAGAGTCAAACACGTGCAAACCTTGGCGGTAGTTCAATGTTTACTGATGAATGTCCCCCCCAAAGGTCGACAAGGAAGAGCGCCAGGACGATCAAGGGGGGGGGTTGTATTATTCGGGGACTGACCCTTTACGAGTTTGTGTTCTTTTCCAGAATTTTGGGAACAGCAACCCTTAAAACTGCATTGGCAGAAGCATTGGCAATAGGTTTTGTAATTCAAATGTGTGCTTTTTCCTTTGCCTTTTTGGTTCTTCTGGAAAATGGGGACTGTTTTGATTAAGGGGGATTTTGGTGGGTGCCAAGCCGCTCCTTCAACAGTCAGCATTGCCTACTCGTGCCACATGCTATGGGTCACGAAACATTTGTCCCAGTCCATTGTCCGAACTCATTTGTATGCCAAAAACTCCCAGGTGTCAGAGCGGCCGCTACCGCTGGACGCCATCATCTCCGTCTTCACCACGTTAGTGGCCTTCCCCGTGCAGTTGCAACTCCTCGCCGGCCACCTGCCCGCCATGGGAGCAGCGCCCACCGACCTCATGGTCTTTTACGGCGCGGGGGATACCGCGTCCTTCGCCTTGCGGATGCCCTTGGGCAACCTGAGCCTGTACCTGTAGGGCGAGAGCCAGAAAAATGCCGGCGCTTGTGAGTTGTTAGGAGGGAAGGGGTGCCATGGAGTTGGCCTGGTTGTTCGCAAGCAAACGGAACTAGTTGTGAAGTGCTCAAAACAATAAAAGCAGCCACGAAGGTGAATCCAGGGGCGAGCTAGCTGACACTCATCAGCACAATGCCCAAGAGCGCCGGGAATTCGTCAAGGGCCGCTGGTTGCTGCATGCTTCCCGTGTCCAGAACTCTTGATGTTTTTGACTGAGGTGGGTGTGCACCAAGCACCCCTTGCTCCCTCAAACGGCCGTCCTGACAACTCTGTGGCCTTGTGCGGATCCGTTTAGAAAGCAGCTGCCCTGAGCTGGAGGCTTCCACTTGT